AGTAAGGCTATGAAACCATTTGAAATGTTTTTTATTTCTATGAAATATTCATATGAAAGCTCTAAGGATGCTTAGTCTGCAGTCAGTAAACTTAGCGTCACTCAGCCAGGGTTTAGGCATCCGTTCCAGGGTTAGGTGAGTTACCCATCCCTGCCCAGGAAACAGGTTCTCCTCTTGGGTTCATGACTGTGATGTTAGGCTGTTAGAGAAATTAGAGCCAAAAATGGAAAAACAAAACAAAACAAAAAAAACCTAAAACTTAGGAGCCTTCTGTGTCTCTATTAGTGCATGGTAAAAGTGACCGCATTCTTATATAATCTCTATTATTAGTTAGCTATGTGATTTGGAGCCAGCCATTGAGCCTTTGTGGTTTGCAAGAATTGTCATCTATGTAAGAACAGGGCTGTCGCAGACATCTTTAGGCCCCTTTATGTTCTCAAATGTGATATTCACATGACATTTAGCAGTAACATTCTTAGTCGATCTAAATAGGCTAACTTGGCTACACGGAATGCGACACAATTAGAAAACACAGGTTACAGACAAAGATTTCTGGTTTTAAGTGAGAGCCTGCTTTCTTTGTATCTTTCCCCGATTTGCATTAAGTATCCTTAATGAGCTGTTTCCTTTGTATCAGAAGACAATGACAGTTTTAATGAGAGTACATTAAAGCTTTCCATTAAGGGTCATTTAAGATATTCTTGACTTTAAATAAGCTAAACGCTTAATAGTAAATTTGGTTTATAGAATAAACTCAATATATATCAGATGCTATCTTTAACATGAATATATTTTGAAACAGGTTCTGCTATTCTTTGTCTTTCTTTTCGAAAGTTTCGATCCTGCATTCACACCTTCTTTTTTTTTTAATTAAAATTTATTGGGGTGACATCAGTTAGTAAAATTTATATAGGTTTGAAATGTACAATTCTGTAATACATCATCTATATATCACATCGTGTATTCACCACCCAGCGTCAGTTCTCCTTCCATCACCATATATTTGACCCTGTTTACCCTCATCTACCACCGCTTCCCCCTTTCCCACACCTTCTTAATCAATCTTTTATGTTCTCCTCTTAGAATATGCTGTGTTACCTTTTTTTTATTTTGAAACATCTCTTATTTTTTTGCTGTTATAACATTCAAAATTAATGCGGTATTTCTAATTGCCAACTCATCATGAGCTAGGTGACAATTTGAGAGATGCATAAGAAAAGCAAACACAGCAGTAAGGATGCACTGACGATCCTGGGGGCATTTGTTCACTGTGAGGGCTTCCTAAATAGCATCATGCTTCAGCATTTGAAACAATAAAGCACAATATTTATTTCCCTCGGATTCTTTTAAAGTTATTACACAAAGAAAGCATCAAAATTAATAAGTAAATATATAAATAAATCCAGATTATAAGTCAGAGTGGAAAGAAGTATAGTAGCCTACATGTTATCAGTGTAGTGTATATTACCTGTAGTAATATATATCATAGTCTGTAATATATATATTACCATATGTAGGAGTACAGTATAAAAAAATACTTGACTCTTTTCAGCATCTTTCTTCCAGTGTATGAAATCACCCACACAGAGAGACCCAGGTAATGGCATTAATCAGTGGTTTTCTCACCGTGTAAAACATCCATCGGTCTCCTACTTTGTGATACTTGACTTCTGTGAATGCAATTGCTTATGTTTTAGTAGTAGAAGTAGTTGTTAGAGGACATATGAAGCAGGGTGTTGGGGATTTAAAAACAAATAACAAACAAACAAACAGGGTTTTTGGGGTAAAGCAACACTGGATTTAAAGTATGCATCTGCCACTTTATCACTATATAAGTTGGCCAAATTACTTCAATTTCTGAGCCTTAGTTTCTTCATCTGTAGAATGGGACTAATAATACAGACTCTTAAGGGTTTTAAAAGTGTTTTGTCCTTGCCATATAAAGCCCATTGTCCACAGAGAGCAAGCCAGGAATGATCACTATGTTTTATAATCACATGGCAGAAGGTCACATTTCCAAAAAGCTCTCTAGCTTCCCATACACAACATCATGTTGCTCTCCTCTCAGTAGCTACTCAGGAAATGTCCAAATCGGACTTGCAATAGAGCAGCAAGTGAGCACAGCCTGTTTAAACCAAGGCTTTCTTCACTGCCAGTAAATAGCCTGGTCCTGATTTTACTTTTTAAAAAGGTGGTGACTATATTGCTGCAAATTGCAGTCTTGTTTTGAGTTGAAAGAGACAAAAGCTAGACTCGGTATGCTCTTAGAAATCTGAAGAGTCTTACTAATAATTTAGAATATTGAAACACAAAAGACGGGAGTCAGGAAGCTCTTCACAAATGTCTGTAAGGCTCAAACTCCTTTTCATTATCAATTAGACAGATTTGGAGTTTAATTGCATTTCAGGGCACATTGCAAGGTATCTCTTTTCAAAGTGCTTTTCCTTAATTAGTACAAATGTTTGGTCCCTGAGAAAGGTGGAAATATAAGGCTTGCTTTTATGTTTGTTAATGTTTTCTGTTTTATATTCACTGTTTGCACCTAGAGGCCCATGTGAATGACATATTTTTATTGAAATCAAAAATAAATATTATGTAAATTATACCCAGAAAGAGCAGCCATGGAGCCTAATTATTTTAAGGTAGCATTAGAAGGATTCATTTCAATAGTCTAACCAAAACAAAGGTGAAAGAATAACGCATATATGCTAATGGATTTGTGCTTCTCAATGTTAGCATTTAGAGACAATATGCCAATTATCTTTGCATCCCAACAACTGGGAGAATATATTTAACATAGAAGGTGTTCAATTAATGCTCCCAATAATATGGAGCAATTACTGAGGAAATTAATAATATCATGGGACAATTAATTCTACGTAAATAATTTCCTTTATTAAATACAACGTAGAGGTTGAAATGGTTACATGACTATACAAGCTGGCTTGCATTTCCTAAAAATATCTTTTCAAATTTTCTTCTATGCGTTCTGTTGCTTCAGGTCTTATATTTAGGTTTGAAATATAAAACTGAAAACAACAAACGAACAAGACAAACAAAATCTCATAGACACAGACAACAGTACAGAGGTTACCAGAAGGAAACGGGGGAAAAGGGAGGTAGAAAAGGGTAAACAGGGTTAAATATATGATGATGGAAGGAGATTTGACCCTGGGTGGTGAACATGCAACGCGGTATATAGATGATGTGTCATAGGATTGTACACTTGAAACTTATATAATTTTATTAACCAATCACCCCAATAATAAAAAAAAGAAAAAAATATTTCAATGAGTATAATTAGCTCTCTAGTTTTGCCCATGTACCAGCCAGTTTGGTTTACTCTGCATTGGGATTTCTCAACCTCAGCACTCTTGATATTTTGGACAAGATAATCCTTTGTTATGAGCAACATCCCTGGCCGCTATCCATAGGTGATGGTCGCTCGCATTCCTCCTCCACTTGTAACATTCAAACGTGTCTACAGACACTGTCAAATGTCCACTGGTGGGAGGATTTTGTCCTCGGGTGAGAACCTCTGTTCTATGTGGAATGGATGTTTTCACGTATGGTGGGACACATAGTGCAACACTGAAAGAAGTTTGTCCCTAACTCAGCGTTCCCTCCTTTGGCCCACCTTTTTGGCACATACATGCCACTCTTCATAGCACTTGGACAATTCATTATTATTTATTTTGAAATGCAAATCTTCCCATCATTGCTTTGATTATAATTGCCCATGCCTTTCTAGTCTTTCTTCTCTGAGTCTTTAACCTTTCTGGCTGGATACATTTCAAAGATGTCAGTGCAAAACCTTTTCATGATCTCTCTCCAGCTTCTCTGTACAACCTCAGTACGTGTCTTTCTCACACAGGTAGCCTAAGCTCCTCCAACACACACAAAAAACTACAGTTCTTTTGTCTGTCCTTCACTTGTCTAATCCTTAACCTGGGTTTTGAACCTCAATTCAATCTTCTTCAACTCATTCCTTCTAGAAGATGTTGGGAGCACTTTTTTCATGCACACTTTCATTATATCTTTATCACCCTTATCAAAGGAAGCATTTTATTTTCAAGTTTATCTCTCCGCTGGACTTCAAGCTGCTGCTGCTGCTGCTACTGTGTGTGTGTGTGTGCGCGTGTGTGTGTGTGTGCCAAATACTTTTATCAACCTAATTTAATTCTATAAACATATTTATACAACACTATTATTCCTTGTTTATATACTTGGAATTTAAACCCCAAGGTTGAATGACTGTATAAGATCACACAGCCAGTAAGTGAAGACTCCAGAATTCCCATATTGGTCTTCCTATCTTCAGAGTCCAGTCCTAACTCAGCACTCTAGGCAGCCTCAGGCTAATTGACATTTACTGAGTGATTACTAGGTGCAGTCCATTTGCAGAACAGTTTGTCCACATTGCTTTATGGTCTTTCACAGTAACTGAGAATAGATAGTTTTCTGATTTTAACAATTTTCTTGTTTTACAGATAAGGGTAGATGATTTCCTAGTCATACAGGAGGAGTCAGAGATAAGCATTATTCCCAAACACTCTCTTTTTGCACAATATCCGTGCTCCCTATCATTAAGGGACCAAAAATTCTCTAGATTATGATTAAATATTTCTACAATATTTTTCGCAGTTAATTTTTCTCATATCTATTAATTCAAATGGGAAAAAAAACCCAAAAAAACAAAAACTAATCTGGTCAATGATATATTCATGGAGATAGCAATATATACATATATATACATATACATATACATATACATATACATATATACACATATATACACATATATACACACATATATACATATTCTTAACTTGACAGAAATCCATCTGCTACATCACTTAAAGGATCAGTTAATATTATAAATTCATTATATTAATAGAAAAATATGTGAAAATCAAACATTTTAAATATTTTGTAAACTGTTAAGTAATGGTCAGGTGATCACACTCTTGATACGTGGAGAAGTTTGAAGCATACCGTACCTTACTAAGCTGTTAGCACTGTCGGGGTCTTGTGCCAAAACTGTCCCAACAACAGTTCCAATTTTGGCATTTTCATAGACTTCCATGATGTAGGAAGGCATGGAAAAGAGTGGTGGTTCATCTACATCTCCAACAATGATCTTCAGCATGGTGGCATCTTTAAAAGGACCCAAGTGAGAAAAGCGGAAATCAAGATGTGTATTTGCTCCTTCTATGTTGAGGGTGTAGGACTTCTTTTTCTCATAGTTCAGTGGCTGTGGGGAAAAACAAAATTTCCACTATTATGAATGCCATCATTTTCAAACAAGCATTTTTTTCCCATTTTTGAAACAAGCAAATATTAATAGCCAATACATTTTATGTTTAAAATAAATGATGACGTTTGTCTTACTCATATTATCTAAAGCAGAAATTATAAAAATTCAAGTTTGAATCAATTGTGATTTTTCAGTTATTAATATGATGATAACTAGGTAGAAAACGACATTCCCCATATGGAAACCAATACTGCTTTTTGGGGGTGTCTCTTTTCTTACTATCCTGCAGAAACTTTTTTAATATCCTTGTCAACCTACACTATTAATCTTAAAAGTAATTGCTATTAATATTTTAAATATAAAAAAATAAAGTAGACTTTTTTTGTATTTTGCATTTAAAAAATTTATCTCATATCATTGATTTTTATCTAATATTATCTTAATTTTACCTAGCTGATTTTAAACTTTGTGCCATGTTTAAAATCTCATAAATCTTTAAATTTTCAATTCAGTGATATTTCCTTGGAATTTTAGAAAAAAAATTATACAGACTTCTGAATTTCACATTGGTGTTTGAATTCTATTATTTATCTTTTGTTTTGCTGGCTGTACCATTTCATGTATTTGTTGTTGTTTTTTATTATATTATGGTATAAACCACTTTGCTTTATAAATTATAGTCTTTTTGTTGGTTTATACAGTTTGTTTTTTAGCTTTGAGTTTTTACTAACTTCATAATCTTTTTAGTTTTATTTTTCTTTTTTCAGTTGTTCAAACAATATTTATTTTTCTTCTATTGATAATATATATCAGGGATCATAAATTTGATTTAGCATACAATAATGAATAAGATCAGTATGGTAATTTATTCCAAGGTATATATGGTCTAAAATAGGATATAAAGTAGTAAACAGACATTTCGTATATTTAGTGCCATAAGTCTGGGTATTATGGAAATTAATAATAAGGATGCAAACCTAGGTGCATTTAAGCAGCTAGGTAATGTTTCCAAGAGGAAGTACATTTTGAGACAACAATGTTTGAAAAATGTTAAACGTGATGCATATAATAGGCTCTGTGGCTGAGAAGGAGCTCAGATTTACAAGATTAGAAAATTGAGCTCATCGTCAGAAGTCTCCATGGTGATGGTCGTGCAGGTGATCGTTTTAATTTGAGCCTGATGAAGTGCCCACTGATGCTGGTCTTCCTTATTCTTATCTATGAGGAGAAGCAGAAGAGATTTTTTTTCATACTTATTTCTGACACTGGTTTTGCATTAGCTTGCTTAAATTTTGAACTGTTTATTTATTTATTTATTTATTTATTTATTTTGGCTGGATCAGAGAACCATCATTCCCTATAGAGGAATTTATAGATTTTCCTTTACCTTAAGGGCCAAAAAGAATTTGATTAGAAAACGTGTCCTTAAGGGACTTTATAAGTAGAAAGATTGATCCTACTAATGATTATTTCCCTTATCTCTTCTGAATTGCCTTGGAAAATTGGGCCTTTCCAGAAAATGGTGATTGCATAGAACAAAAAAACAACCATTTAAGTTCCAGACTAGATATTAAAAACCTAGAACCAAGGAAACTTCTTGGGTCATGAGGACATGAATGAGACTGGGCTACTACAACATTTTACAAGTTTTATAAAACAAAATAAAAATTTTAAAAACCTTAAAAACTCAAATTCTCAAAAGTGGACTTTTTATAGAATACATATATAATAAAATTATGTATATTAGATGTATATATTTTCAAGAAGTATTAGAAAGAATTTTAAGTAGAAATTAACTGTGAAAGTAACTAGCATCCATCTTATTTGGGGAGCTGTGCAACTCCTAGCTGGAGTTGTGTAACTCTTGCTCCCTATCAGAAATGGTGTGGATGGATATGGTCCCCCTTGGCTCAGAGCGTTGATTGTCAGAATCCAGGCAGCCTTCTTCACAGGTTTACCATTCATTTAAGATTTATGTAAGTTTTTAGAGTTAACCTGCTTCATCTGGTAGATTTTATGATGACTAAGTTTCTTCTCTTTGAACTTGAGTGTTTGACACCTTAAAGCCAAAAAGACAGGATTTGTTTACTTTCCTAGGGATGTTAGCATTCTTTTTTTTCATGATAATACAGAATTTTAAAACATACATCTCTACTTATTCAGTCTAGGCTGTTAAATCTTTTTGATTCTCAGTGACATTTGTGGAAGTATTTTGGTCACTTCTTCCACACCAGATATTATTATCAAGCTGTGCATCCAATATGACAAGCATCACTTTTTCCATTTTTCATCAGGTCCTTCGGCTAGTTAGATGTCATTTGTCTTAACAGGTCCCTACCTACTGTTATAGAGCAGGCTGTTTATGTGGACACATAATTTCATGTTTATGATTCTCTAATATATATTTAACCACACTAAAGCAGGGATAATCATTTTGAGGGACTTGCTTGCCAGGACTGGCAGATGGATGGACAGGGACCCATCTGGAGCTACTGAGGAATGACAGGATTATTTCAGGTTAGGACAGAAATTTAGAATCAGATAAATTAATGCAAATGGAAATATTGTAACCACCTCATTTATGAAAATGATTTGGCAGTGCTGAATTGTAGGTATAGAAAAACTGAGAAGAAATTATATCCATTTATTCTTAGAGACTGCTGAATTGTGTATATAATATAACGTATATTAACTCTTTGTCTTGTATTACAATTACAATAGAATATAGAGATTGGATTATAATTATTTTTGTGTTACCGTAATCCCGACAAAACTGTCCGAATACTCATCATCCACACATTTTTAAATAGATCCTTTAGTAATTTCCTAGTAATCCTTTGTCCCTAGGAAACTAGAATTCCATCTGTCAGTTTCACTTTTCTAGTTATCAGATTTTATTTTTTTAACTTAAAAATAGTCTATCAAATACAATATAGCAGAAATCATGAAACTTATTCATTTAAACCTGATTTTTATCAGAGGATTGTAGAGGGAAAAGTTTCAAAAAAAAATTACCAAGGCTATTGAGGTACCACAGAAAACAATAACATGAAATGTCTGGCTGGCAGTTTATAAAACACACAGCATGCCTGTTTTTGGCCTTAACATAAAACAAAAAGAAATAGAAAATAATTTCATAAACATGAGACATATAATATGAACTTGATAAGTGTGGTTGTAGAAGCAGAGATTGTCCATGTGTGTAAGAAAGAGTTTGTCCAACTGCATATTACAATGCCAACTCCTCCCACGCTTTTAAGTCTTTCTGGCTGGATTCTGACAATGATCATCACATTGAACAGCTGATTAAAACACTCAAGCGAAAGAAAAACTTGGGGAGAGTTCTTCCTTTTAGAGCTACAAGATGACTCTTACAAAGAGTAGGTAGTCCCCAATCTTGATGATTTGTTCACCATTATTTACTCCATAAATGTTGCCTCACCAAGGTATTTGGTGTGGGGGTGGGGTTGATGATGTGAATGTAGTTCATCCCGTTGAACTAAATTTCTGAACTATGCCAAATCTGCCTTTTGGAAAACTACAGGTCTGGATTATGAACTCCAGTTTGAACATTTCTGCAGAGATCGGGGCGATGTTGCCCCAGACAAAGGCAATTGTGGAGCCATCAGAAACTGGACGAAGCTAGGAATGGACTATTCCCTAGAAGGTATGGGGAAAGCGCAACCTAGCCAACACCTAGCTTGATTTAAAAGTCCTGGCCTTCAGAACTCTGAGATAATATTGTTTTCAGCCACACAATTTGTTGTAATTTGTTACAGCAGCCCTAGGAAACCAATACAGCCTTATTTGCTTCATATAAAAACACAGTGGGATTTTTCTTTCTTTGTAGTGTGCTGGATGGCTTAAATAATATCGTAATCATTTGCCCCTTAAGGTTTGATGAAATTTCCTTAGTGAATCATTGATGCTGAAGTATTTGCAGAGGTAGTTCTTTCACAAGGTGCCCGTTTTTTTTTTACATGAAACCAGTTTATATGTATTTTATATTTTTTTGAAGTTGCTTTTTAGCAGTTTTCACAAAAATATTCCTTACATGAAATTTACTTGTGTATAATTATGAAAATATGTTACACATTTTCCATTTTTTCTTACTATTTACTTTCCATTATTCCTCCCATCTTTCTTAATAAGATTGGTTAAGGCTTATTTACTGTTTTATTGTTTTGTTGTTTATCATACTGTTTTTTCCAAAAAAATAAGGTATATAAATTTAATAAATTATATTGCTGATTTCTAACTTCCTTTTGTCTTTATTAATTTTCTCCGCTTTTATTCTTCCTTTGTACTTTTATATATATATATTAATCTAACTAATTTATTCTTTTATTTTCTGTATTTAATATATTTAGGATTACGAATATACCCTCAGGAGTATTTATTTGGTATCCCATAATTTCTATAAACATTATTTTCATTATTTTTTGTCTAAAAATTCTGTAATTTTGTTGTGCGATTTTTTCTTTGATTTGCATGTTATTGAAGAAAAGGTTGCTGTTATTACAGTTGCTAAGTGTTCAGGTTGAGGAAATTGTTTTATTTACTGGGTAGCTTTCATTTAGTTTTTTTCATTTTGAATGACAGCATTTTGTCTGTACTATTTTGGCTATTGGGTATTAAAAACAATCAAAATAATTTTGGAAAACTATATTAACTATATATATATATATAGAGAGAGAGTTATATATGCATATATATGTATATGCTATATCAATATTGCTAATGTTCCATGGAATTGGAAATAAAAAATATATCTTCAGGATACAGAGATTAATACTTATCAACCTCCTAAATGTTATTGAATTATTCCAAATTTTATAACACTTTATTTATCATGGACTGAAATAGGTGTAATATAGTCTTCTTCTACCTGTTTGGTTCTATGCATAGATCCTTGTATATAATTGTAATACATTTGTGTAACACAATATTTGTGTATTACAATATCTGTTTATTGTTTTGTGAATGTTATTGCTATC